AAACGACAAATATATGATAATGATGATGAAGAAAATATGACAAGTTCATTTTTACATGGACATTTTACTTTATTACCTGATGAACCTCATTCAGATCCAGAAATTGGTGCTGATACTCGTGTTAAAGTAAATTTATACAATTGAAATAATAATATTGAAACTTGTTTTTTTTTGTTTGTTTTTATAATAGCGTGAATTAGTCAAAGCATTGACTCGTGCTATATTAGGTTTACGTGAAAATTCAGCTGGATTATTTACTATTACATATAAAATGATACGAAAATGTATTGAAAAAGATCAAGATTTTACAGGTGAAATGAGGTAATTAAAAAATTTACTACGAAATTTTTATAAAAGATGAAAACAAAAAAAGCAAAACAATCTTCACTAAAAAAAAAGTATCATTGCAGTTGCAAGATATTCGTTTTATATCGTTTGAAAAATGCATAACTTGTTGTACAAAAATCTAAAAAAAAAATTTTTCTTCTGTATCTAAGACTTATATAAACTCATTAAGCCAATAATCTTTTTTTTTGACTGTAAACAAAAACATAAACATGAAAGAGCTCTAATTTTGTCATCAGTTCATACTTTAAAGCAACCTATATTTTCATATGTTTTATAGTTTACTCATGAATATGCTCTACTAGAATTTTAATAGGAATTTTTGTTTCATAGAAGTAATTTTTAAGTCCAAAGGAGGTGTGAATCGGTATTTGTGTGACGGCGACGAAATTAGAGATAGAATCGGTCTGATGAGGAAATGTTTTCAATGGATCAATCGCTTTTGAAGTCGAACCTTGTGAATAAGGTTAACTCCAGTGGCATATAAGACATCTTAAAAAGGTTAAGTTTCCATTGGCTTTAGTTCAGCGTTCTAGAAGTTTTAGCTTCTAGTTTGGCATATGCCAATATATTGAATTATGAAATTTCGGTCTGACATTCTTTCTTCATATAAGTTTATTTGTCAGTAGAATACCCTGCAACTTTCATACTTTCCGTAGATATTGAAGCCTCAGAAAATTTGTAGAATATCAGCCATTTTTCGAAGTTTAATATATCAGGAAAGAAACATTCTTTTGACCTGAAATTCTCAGGACAGATTACTAACAAACAGACCTGTCTGTAAGAAAAACGTTAGATCAAAATACCGTCATTTAATTTGTTAACAAATACTATCTATTTATCTTAAGACACATTTCTTCATTATACTTTTCTCTAGAATAGTGTTGTTTTTTTGTCAGACTTCTATGCTCAATAAACACATAATTTGTATGTCTAATCGAAAACATTGTCTAAATTTTATTGTTTTCTCTATTTTCTGAATATATATAAATATGCTAATGTTGTAATAATATAATTAATTTTGATTATTTTACTTATTATTTTCATAGTGAAAGTGAAATAATTTATATTCGTCTTTGTGGTTTATCATGTTTATTAAAATTAATTTGTCATCCATATTTTTATACACGTATAAAACCTGATGATTTTCTTATGATCATGACATTACTTCGTGTAAGTATTTAATAACTTTTTTTTTTAAAACTGATTTAGTTTATTTTATTTTATTTTTTTCTACATTAGGATCCATCATCAACTATTCGTCAACGAACTTATCGTAAATTAGCTGAACAATTACGTGATCCAGTATGTCCTATTGAATTACTTGCTCTATTAGCATTTGCTGCTAAAGAACCTGAACGTGAACATCGTGAACAAATTCGTCGTTTAATGTTACAAATAATTGATACACGTCGTGAACATATTAAACTTCAATTATCATATAAAACAACTTCAACAACAAATGGTCATCAAAAAACAAATGGTTTTGATGATGACAACGATGATGATGATGATGATGATAATGATAATAATAGTTCATCAACAATAGATGATAAACCAATTGATTATACATTATATCCTGAATATTCATTAATATATTTTCTTTATTTTCTATCAAAATCACCAGCATTTATATTATATGATGATATTGAAATGTTACATACAATGACAGATTATATTCTATTTTTATTAGATGCTTTATTATTACGTTGTGATACAACAGTTGGTTTATTCTATAAAGGTTTATTACGTTCAATAAAATCATCTGAAGATGCAACAATATCATCAGATAAAGAAGAAAAAGCTGAAAGAAAAGATGCATTAAAAAAATTACATGTACTCGTTGATTTAGCTTATGTTATATTATCACAACGTGCATCATCATTAATGATATGTCGTGCTAGTTCAAATGTTCCATTACCAGATATGTATTTTAAAAAAACACGTTATAATCATTTTTCATATTTACCAAAAGATTTTAAAATTAAACTTAAACCAATAACAATAACAACAGTTAGTGATACAACAACACCAATTAATAAACGTACAAATATAGGTAATTCAGCTGATACAAATAATAATACAAATATGAATAAAACAGCATCAAGTATAACGATTGTAACAACACCATCAAAATCTATAAAACAAAAACGAATAAGTGGAGATAATGAACAAAATAATTCAACAAAGAAAAAACGAAATTTACCAAGTATAAAAAAACGTAAACGTCAAACTAGTAATAATGTTAATGAAGATCAAGAAGTCAATTCAAGTAAATAAACATTTTTTTTATTAATATAACAAAAGAATTTTCTAATAATAATATGTCGAAAACAAAACAATTAATTATTTAGTATATGCTTATAAATGTCCTCCCTTACAAGGTCAAAGGAACAAACAAATATTTTTGCTTATATTTGAAAATTTCTTTCAAATCATAGTTCGTCTCTCCCTCTCTCTCTCTCTCTCTCTCTCGTTTCAATCTTCAATTATAAACCAAACTTATTAAAGTTAATTTTAAAGAATTCTTATTTTTACATAAAATCAAATCCTACAAAGACTGTATACCATGAATCTTAATTGAAGTTATAAAAAACGTAACATTTTTTTGTAACGACCAAAAAAAAAACACTACTTAATAACAAAAAAAAAGAAGAATAAGGTAGAGTGTTTTATAAGCTCTAGACCTCGATAAAAATGATTGTGAATCACTCAACTTATATGAACTTCAACTAGGCCAATATCATATTTAAATATCACATTGAGTAGATGTATAATTATATAATTTGTTTTTCGTACATCAATATAATCATTTCATCATTCATATGAGTAGTCAAACTGTATATAAAATAAACATTTTATCAACTTAAAAAAAAATGTATAGACTCTTTTTCTTTATTAATCAATAATCATTTTTCGATTGCATCAGTTTTATCATTATAACAAAAAGAAAAAAAAAAGCATATATTAAATTATTGATTATCCAATATGGTACCATTCATTTTTAAACAAGGACAAAATTTGCACCTTAAAAAAAAATGAGAAAAGAGAAAGACATATTTCAATACACATGCATAATTATTTGTTACTTTAAAACATTTGGATTTATTTTAATCCTTAGTAGATTATAATCTCGCGTGATACATTAGTTGTTAATCAGTATTAATTGATGACTAAATGTAGATTTATTACTAGAAGAAAAAATTACTGAAAAAGGATGTATAATTAAGAGAATTACAAATTTATAAATATGTATTGTTACTTTTTTTTTTTTTGTCTAATTTAGATTCATCACCAGTTAATGGTAATAGTAGTCGTAATATTTCAACAAATAGTTCAAATCGATCTCGTATAAATTTTCCATATGAAAAACCTCAATTACGTTCAGCATCATCATCATCTTCGTCGCCATCACCTAAACCAAATCGTCGTACAACAATAAAGGATAAAAATTCATCATGATTAAATTAAATAAACAAACGAAATATATAAATATTTTCTTTTTTTTTTTCTCTTGTTGTTTCGGCTAAGTGCTTTTGTTTGTTTGCAACAATACAATGTGTAGATATACGTTATATACATATATATATCTTATAGATAGAGAAAGATTAACAACGAAAAAATAAAATAAAATAAAATAAAATTGTTTATTTTGCTGTATGTTATAAAATACAAGCAAAGAAAAATATAGTGTATAGAATATTATATACATACTATATATGTATGTGTATTTTTCTTCTTGTTTTTTTTTTGCTGTGTGAAATGTATTTTCTTTTTCTCTCTTTTTGGTCTTGTATAACACATATTCTTGATGTTACAAACATAAACTATATCTATATATCCTCACTTCACTTATATGTAAATTTATCTTAAAAAACGATTTCGAAAAAGAAGCAAAAAGTGCACCTCATAAACTGGCAAGTATATGTGATTCAATCCGTTTATGAGCACGTGTGCCTGCGGCTTTATGACAAGTACTATATACGTTACCTTGTTTGCTTATGCAAGCAAGGTGTGATCTGATTCATTTTTCCCGACATAACTGACTGGTGCATTCTGTTCTTGCACGTACACATTCGTGATTCAAAATCAAGAGAAAAAAGGAGAAAAAAAAAGAAATTCTTTTTTTTCTTTTTCTCTGTACAAAGTGTTGATGGCTATGAAAAAAAACGCCAGTAGTTAATGATGATTTTTCTCAATTTGATATTCTATTTATATGTGCTGCATATGAAGACAAGAACAGCTGTCAATAATATTTAAATAGATTTGCAACATCGATAATGACCAGTAACAGGTAGTGTATATTAAATGTTTGTTTGGCTGTCCGACAAATGAACTGCGTAGATAGACAAACACGTGTATACACATATTCTTATCTTGAGTTGATGATGATCGGACAGTGTAGTGTATAGGCTATGTTTATTTGTAAAATGTCTTTTCCTGTACGCCCTTTCAATTTTTTTATATTCATTTTTTTTTAATCTATACACATACGAACAAGGTCGATTGATAGATAGAGAGGAATAGATCAAATTATTGTTCTTCTTCGTTGGTCTTTTTCTTTTGCTTTATGACTTTTTCAATGATTTCAAAAAGATGAAGATTATGAACGAACGAAGGAGGAAAATGTTTATACTTTGATCAATATCAATACGATGTATTATTTACAATTAAACAAGTGAGATAGAAAAAAGAATCATAAAATTTTTGCTTTTTTAAGTAATAATTTAAACCATAGAAACTTTCTTTTTTTTGTCCAATATTTTCAAGGCCAAATCTTGTGGAAAAATCAGGTATTTTACATATTTATTATGCCAATAAAACCTTCAAACATTGGAAAAAGCGATGGCTTCATTTACAAGATCAACAATTGTCTATATATCAAGGTAAAAGTTTTTTTTTTGTTTATATATTTATTTTATACATTATTCTTAAAACAAAAAAAAAATGCCAACGATTTCCTTTCCTTTTTCTCTTCTTCTAAAGATTCACGTTATAAACGTCTTGAAAATACAATTAATATTAAAAATTTTCGTGTATCGATTACAAATCCAATTGATTCAATATCACATAAACGATATACTTTTAAAGTAAGTCGAAACTTATTTTCTAATAAAAAAAATAAAAGTTTTTTTTTAATTGTTTAGATCTATGATCCAAATTTAACAAATGAAAAACCGATTTACTTTTCAGCTAATAATAAACAATTAATGACACAATGGATTAATGCTTTACGTCTTTCAGCTTCAATTGCTAACGATCTTCTTGTAGAGTAAATATAATCTTTTATATTTATACGTACTCTTTCAATACTCGTCAATTATTAGACCTAATTTTGCTACTGATTTGCATCCAATTGATACAGACAATGAGTCAGATTATAATGGCTCAATGAATATTAATAATTCAAGATCATCGTATAAGTAAGAGAAATTTTATTCAAAAAGAAAAAAAAAAACAAACGTCATTTTAAAAGAGAACAGCTCTCCTTCTCTTCTCTCTCTCTCTCTCTCTCTCTCTCCGGTTTTTATTCATTTACATCTAGTAAACGAAGCTGATTAACAACGATCAAGAAAAAAAACTAATGACAAAAAAAAGGCAATTTGCATCTCAATTGCGACGTGAAGCACTGTTTATGCTGTTCCATGAATGATTGTAGTCGCATACATACATATTCCCATACAGTTGCTCTTCACATAACGTCTACTCGGTATTCTTTAGTGCAGCCATCTAATATTATCAATTTTCAATTGTGTACCGGCGGTGACGACGGGCGCGTGCACATGAGTCTCTACATTGAAAAGCATTCAACAGTGTTTTTGTAATTTTTTTTCGTATAGATGGATGGATGGATGGATGAACGTACTGTCTCATGTTCATGTTATGTTGTATGCTTTGATGTATATAATGTCTAGTGAGGAGTTTACTTTAAAATAATAGTAACGCTAGTCAAAGTAATATAAAGAAAAAGAGAGGCAAAAATTTGTTCTTCTTTTCTCATATACATACCTTTTAATATCGATAAGACAGTTGGAGAAATATGAGCTTCTATAAGGGAGCTACCACAGATTCGATTGAGCGCAAAAGAGGATTTGTTTCTTTTTTTTTTTGAGATGCAATAGGAGTGCATAGGTCAAGACAAAAGGAATATTGAATGCCATCCATCTACACTGACTGGCGAGTAATAGCAAGATAGTAGTAATGTTAAGAGTCATTATAACGGTAAGTATAAAAGAAAAAGGAGAAGTAGATAACGGAATAGGAGTTTATATGTTAGGTAAAAGTTACAAGTACTCTCATCATCAAAAAAAATGAAAAATTTAAGACAAGCTTTATGTGTCAAGTAAGTTTTATTGATTGAGGACTTCGTTCATGTCTTTTTCTAACACATATCTATATGCCCTTGTTATTTCATACATGTTGTTACATCGACCTTACTTGAGATTAGTGTCTGTAGTTTAACTATCACAGCAACGACTGAATATATATACACACACGTTTAGATGACCTATATGATCATGGGAAGTGTCTGAGGTCCGATTAAGATTTGAGTCAACATTGCCATTACTATCCTACATGCTGTGTATTAGATGATCTTTTTTTTTATGCAATAGATCATCATCATCACTCCCATGTGAAACTTTATTACTATTACACTTGTGTATATTTGTCTTTTTATTATTTTTTTGTCTTGTGTCTCTGTTCTTTTTTCGTCTTTAGTTTACAAATTTCTAATTAGATGACTAGCACACCTTATATTTGAGAGAAAAAAAAAGAAAAAAAAAAAAAGACGAACCCTTATTACATACTATTACTCTTCTCGCCGACACCTCTACGCCTCCGTATCCTCTATACTTTTTTTGACAGCTTTTAAAGTGTCGTATATGAAAATAAGTGAACGAGCTCGTCAATCATCAATTATCGATTTGTATATGTATATATATGTATGTCTATGAGTGAAAATGACCTGCTTACTGAATGATATAGCCTTGTAAAGTTTGTAAACAAGTCGAAGAACGATGATGATAATAATGATAATAGTTATGAATTTTGAGCATCTCGTTTCTTCAGTCATTCAATCATTTATTCTACAATAGACTTCTGTGATGCAATATTGAGACGATAGTCAGTCACTATATGCATAGTTCTATTTATGTACATTTGCGTTCGGTCTCTTTCTTCATTCAAATTCAGTTTCATTCAGTACGTGAGCGTACGAGAAATAAAGGAACATAGGGAGAGAGAGAGAGAGAGACATAGAGCAGCCTATATACTACTGCTTTGTCTATGTGTCAATTTGTGTAATCGAATATAGAACTGAAGTTCTCTTTTCTCTTTTTTTTTCGCAATTTTTTTTTCTGACTGTACTGTCCTATTGCTCTGTTCTTCCGTTCGGTATAAACGGTAGCTGTACCACAGCCATCGCCATCTCACCCTTCTCTTTAGTCAATCTGTTTTATTCATTCATTCATTCGAATATGAAAATTTACTCTTCAATATTTAATGTCGATGACGACGCAACATCTAGACAAAAACGAAAAGAGTTTAATATTCTTGTTTAATTGTAAAAAATGACAGAAGCAAGGTATACTTGAGTAATATTGAAAAAGAATAAATCAATTTTCTTTTTGTTTTTTAAACATAACATTAAATGATTATTACTTTTTTTTTTCGCTTTCACCATTTGATTTTTCTATAGATCATACAAACCATTAATGCCTATTGCAACAACAACAACAACAACAACTTTGAATGATCAAAATCGATATCTAGGTTCATATGAAGAGGAGGAGGATGTTGAAGATACTCGTTGGTATCGTCCACGTTCATCATCGCCATCGTATCCATTGAATGTTAGTAATGGTGTTATTCATCAACCATCGTCAACAACAATGGGTTCATGGGGCTTTGATGTTAATCGTTCAACAAACGCACAGATACCTTCATCGTTTACATCAAACAATAATGATGACAACAATGATCACCGTACAATTACGAGGACACCAAGACGATTAGATGAGCCGATAGAAGATTTTAACGAACGTCTTGTAAATAGATCATCTCCTCCTCTTCAACGTTTTAAATTACGTACACCTACATTGACTAGACATCGTGACGGAAACGAATTTACTGTTGTCGATCGTCTTGTTCTTGGACCAAGTCGTACTATACAATCTGATTATTATCCATCTGATGAATCACCTGGTCAACAATATATGCCACCATCAACTCGATCTCGACAATCATCAACACGATCAATATTACGTCGACGATCAAAATCCATTGGTGATTTTACTGGACCAACAATTAATACATCTTCTCCTTCTCTTCCTCCTCCTCATCTTACACAATCTTATCATCAATATCAATACCATGAACGACCTCGAACAAGTCCAAATACTCATCATCGAACATATACAGAACAAGAATTGATGGCTTGGCAAAATCGTATGTTGGAAAGGTTTGTTTCAAATAAAATTTTACTTGATTTATTACATATTTAAAACAAAAAAAAAGATCCAAGATAACATTATGATTTAAGACTAAACATATTCATTGTTAACTAACAGAACAATGTTTCAATCAATTTTTTTTCTTATAGAGATCATCGTATTGGAAATAGTCTGATAACTCGTCCACCTTTATCGAATACTGGTTGGGTTCAATCACCGCGAATGAATAGTAAACGAGGCGGAGTAAGTTTTTCTTTCTCTCTCTCTCTCTCTCTTGATGATTAACGTATATATATGTCCTTATTCATTTCTCTTCTTTATACTTTTCTGGGTCACAAGAAAAATGAGATCATGTTCTTTGTATGTTTAATCAGATCGGGACATCGTTCTAAACATTTGTATGTGTAATGAGAAGAAAACTGAGTATCATTTCTCTTCATCTCTTTTCTTTTTTCAAATGAATATGTATACTAATTTGTATTGAAGTTGATGATCAGTATTAATACATATGGGGGTCATCTGGTCAATATTGATCTCTGTATTAATTGTTTTTTTTTTTGCTTATGATATACAATTCATTCTCCTTTAGTTCAATACTTCTCAATCACCAAATCGTCAAATGCGTAAGGATTGAAAAAATTTGATTAAAATAATTAAACAGAAAAAGAATAATTTTTTAGCTGTATCAACTCGACCAATATCTGCTATGTCAAATATGAGCGGTAGTCAACGTTTTGAACATGATAATGTAAAGAAGAAATTTTTAATTTAAATTTAACTAAATAAATTTTTTTCGTTTTTATTTGATGAATTAGTGTGAAACAATAATGAAATTATCAAAAGTTATTAAAAGATATATTGAATTACTGTATCATTTACAAACATTTTATGAAAGAATTACCGATCAATTATATGGTGGAAATGTGTGTTTAAGACACAAGTATTGAGTTTTACTTTTTTTATAGATTATTTTAATTTTTTTTTTCTTATTATACTTAGTTCATCATCACAACAATCCGTATTTATTCATCACTGTCGAAAAATTGCTGAACAATTGCAACGTTCAAAACCAAGATGGGATCGAAAAGTATTCAATTTGTGTGTTGTTTATATAAGAAAAAGAAATTTTTATTATGTTTTATAGATTGTTGATCTTCAACATTTACTTAAAGATATTTCTTCTTATGAATGGTCAATAGTAAAAAGTGAGGTTTGTAAAAATAAAAAAACAAAAACAACTTCAAAATAAACTTATTAATCAATTTTATGTATATATACATATATCTATATGCTTAGACAACATTTCTACAACGTCGTTCAACGTTAATTAATTTAATTGAAACATTAAACTCACGTAAAGATCTTAATGATACTCAATTATCTATTCTCGTAAATAATTTTTTTTTCTATCTTTTGTATTAATTTGAATATTTTTTTTCTTTCTATAGAATGATATTGACCGTGTATTACTCGAAGATAAATTAGGTGAGTATGAAAATTTTTATTTCAAATAATTAATTAAACTTTTCATATTAGCTATTCAACTTCAAGATGAATTATCAACATTACTTCAACATCAAGTATGTTGTTCAAAGATATTGATTATGAAATACATAATCTAAAAGAAGTGTTGAAGTATAGACGTAAAAATTAGGATTCTTATAGATTATCACCGAAGGCTTACGAATAAAGTCCTTGAATTGATATTGAGTCGAGATTACTTGCATTATGTAGATACAGATGTACTATGAATAATCTGAAAAGAGTTCATACAGTCAGCATACAATTGTGAAGATACTGCACTTTTACGATCTTTTTTAATGAATGCTATGATAAAGGAAAAACTGATTGTTGAATTGTGACTTCAAACTTTTTACAGAAATAGATCTTAATAAGAATAGTTTTTTTTCTGTAAGAGTTTCAGATATTTATGTTGTTTCTATCTTAAAATACAGCTATAGTAAAAGTGCGTCTTTTACATCAGTAGATTTGATGTTCTTATTTCGGGATAGAAGCAAATCAAAACATCTGAAATTATTCTCTTCAAGGTCTATATCTGTACAAAGTTTTCAATTGAAATTCAAAAATCAGCTTTCGTGTTGTCACGGTATTCACTTTAAAAATATCGTAAGCGTATAATAATACTCGTAACAATAAGCTCAGGACACGAACTGTATACGGGATATTTATAGCTCATTTATGTCTACATAATGCATGCATATCGTCTTGATTTAAAAGCAATTTATCATTTGAAGGATTTTTCTTGTTAGCATCACTCCCGTGTGATAGACAATATATCAAGAACGTTCTTATTATGAGTTTCTTATCGCATTTCTGGAAGATTAAGTGTAGGATAGTGAAGAAATGTGTTCCAAAATATGTAGAATAAAACACATTAACAGTTTTTTTTTTTTTTTTGTTCAATATTAGTCATTATTACATGATTTTACATCATTACTTCAATGGAATCGTCAAATATATTCGTCGAATGAACAAAATCGAGTAGAAAATGTACTACCATTATTACGTGAACAAATAACTACAACTGATGGTTATGTATCACATGTTAGCCAAGTAAGAAAGACAAAAAAAAAGATTTAATTTTTTTTTGAAAATACTACAACTTATATTTATTATTAAAATAGCAATTAACAGAATTAGTAACAAATTTACGTTCATTAGAAAAATATATATTATCATATATGAATTCAATTCCATTAATTGACGATGGTAAAAAAAACAAAAAGAAAATTTTTATATTAGAGTTTTTTCTTATTAAAAAAAAATGATATACTTAGGCATAGTACTACCATCAAATCGTAATAATTGGCGTCCATATAATGAAACTGATATTGATGCAATGAAAACAAAACATCAATTTGAACGAACAAAAGTATTAAAAAATTGAAAATTATTTCTCATTAATTTTTCATTAATAAATATTTAGGATGAATATCAACATTCATCACGTTACCAATCACGTCCGTTAAGTGTGCATACACCTACAAATCAACAGTATCAAAGAAGTAATAATTTCAGATTTATTTGCTTTTTATTACATTTTATATTTCATTAAGGTACTAGTCCGACTTATCGTAATTCTAATTGTGTAGTTGAAAATCATGAGTGGCATCGTCGAAGTCCAAGTCCAACAAGTACATATAAATATTCATCAAACATACGTATAAAAAAAAAAGAAATAACATTTTTAGAAACAAGATCTATATCAATGACTCGTTATACAGATTCATCAGAACCAGTTCGTGGTCCATCAACAGATAATTTTGTAAGTAATAATTATTTAAAAACAAACAAAAAAATTGTTTGTTTTCTTCATTTATTCAGGATCATGATGGATTACGAACATCAACAAAATGGTCATCAAATAGAAATCATAGCCAATTAAATATAAATAATAGTAATAATAATACAACAGCAGCAACAACACGTATTGCAACAGTAAAATCTGTTAAACGTGAAAATGGAATTATACCAAATGTAAATATTTTTAAGACGAAATACAAATGAAAAAATAATTATATATTTTTTCTTTCTTTTTTAATTTAGAGTATCCTTAAACCATATCCACATACACGTACAACACTTGAAACAAAAAAAGATTTTGATATTGATACAATTGATAAAGAAGTATGAATAGAAATAAAAGATTTAATTATTAAGTAAGATGCTTTTTTTTTCAAATAAGATATTTAAGCCAGATAAAGTTGATATACCTGATCGATTAATTGATTTTGATAATGATGATCAAATGTTAACACCAAATGAACGTTTAGCAAAAATGAAGAAAAAAGAAGAAGTACGAAAAATGCTTTCAAAACAAAGGTAAAAAGAAAAAAAAACAAAGAAGATTTTATTTATGTATTTTACTTTTTTTTTCTCACAGTATGCCAGACATTAATGAACTTGATTTTAATGATGGAGATGTTCATTCATCTTATTATCAACGACGACTAGAAAAAGAACGTGAAAAAGTACGTTGATAATAGATTTGTAATTTGATTGATTTTGAAAGCATGATTTAGTTAGACTGAAGAAATGAGATTAATTATCAGTCTTCGAGACTGCAAAGATTGAGCAGTGGGTTAGATGACTCAGAGCGACCGATTAGAAGATTTTTGCTGACGATGATTGTTTTTCTTTTAGAAATTAGTGAACAAAAATGAAAGAAACCGCTGAAACTCTGTCGAAGAAAGACGAAAATTTGAAAGATTACTAGGATCATTCACTCGAGACATTCTTGCACAATGTATTTTTTACATTACAGACGGACATATAACTTTCATTCTCGTAGAATGACTCTCTTTTACTTAAAAGTAATTGCGTATGACTCAAAATATTACTTTCAATATAATAAAATTTTTTTTCGACGAAAAAGATTGAGCGGAACCGTTGCTCATACTTTCTCGAGAACACTTTTTGATTAGACAATACTTTGTGTCATACACTATTCAATGCAGTTTGACGCACTGATTTGAAATACGTTATTGTTAGATCATGAAAACCTTGCCAGATCCGCAAAAAATGGAAACTATCTGAAAAACTATAGTCTCTTGAAAAGCTCATAAATAAGGAGAGAACTTCTGCAGATGTCTCGTTCTGTTTTCAAACTTTTTTTTTCGATCTTTTAATGAGTCTGCTGTCTCAATGCTCTGGGTTTTTGAAAAAAAGTCGTATTTTCAAGAGTTGATATGAAATTTTCCGTATATAGAGAATTCGACTAAACCAGATTCTATAAAAAAATATTCAAAAGTTTTGAATAAAGTGCTTTCAAGATATGAAACTTCAAAGACACAGACCTTTTTCTATGCATACTATTGTTTAGTCGAGTTCTCTATATGTGAAAGGTTTCAAAACGTATCTTTGAATATACGAGTTTTACGAAAACCTAAGGCTTCTAGAAAATAGAGATATTAAAAGGCCAATAGCTTAGTGAAATTTCAACAGGAATCACAATCCTTTCAGAATTTTCATTAGAACACGATCGAGTATCTATAGGCAAAAGATCATTGAAATCAGAAGGTAGCATCTGAAGATATCTTTCCATAAGCCTTACACAAAAACTTTATTTTTTTTTAATTAACAGCCACGTTTTCAAGTATATTTACTAGCATTTGAATTGATGAAAAGTTAACTTTCATATTTTTTTTCACCTAATGTTCACTTGAATGTACATTGTGTCCTAGTCTGTTCTAGAGATCTGATTAGGTTTAAAATTATTCTCTATCTTTGATTAACTTTGACTTCTTTCAAAGTATCGGATTTCACGTATTTTTATAATCGAATTATAATAATTGATTGTTTATCTTTAGGCTCTTAATTTACAATCAGCACTTGCTGAAGAAGCAAAAGAAAAAAGTCGTCAAGTTGCAGGTGAGATAAACTAATTTTGTTTTATTTTCTATGAATGATTAACATTGATTCACGTGTGTGTGCGCATCTGTGTGTATCACAATGATTTCTTTTTCTTTTTTTTTCAATTCAAAGATTTATAATTACGAACAAACGGGTGAGCTAATGGGAATATTTGCTCGCTTTCATTTTTGTCTATGTTTCTTTTTGCTTTGCTTTTTATATTGAATTTAAAAACTTATTGAGATTCTTTTGTTTTAGCAAAACATTATCTAAATAAATCATATCAACAACAAACATCTCGTCGAAATTCATAGATTGATAAACTTGAATTGGTTAATGTTAACAGTGGTAGTGATGGTGCTAGATTTTACTCACATCTTCTGTTTTTTTTATGTATAGAGTTTGATCTATCTGTCTCCCTCTCTCTCTCTTTATGTAATTTTTCAATTATATGCTTTTGTGTGTTTCAATATTTTTTTATACTGTGCATGTTTGTTCTCTTTTGTACTACACTAATTATAATATGTACTATGTCATCGAGATTTTTTGTTGTTTTTATTCTTTGTTTAGAAGATCAAAGAAAGAAGTAATTCTCGATTTATTAATTAATATTTGTACATTGAAAATGAGATCTAAATACAATATTATCAAAGGTTGAAATATTTTTTCTTTTTAATAATCAATTGTGACTTTCTAGTGAAAGAACATTTTATTGTCAGTAAAAATTCAAAAATAAGAAATTAAAAAAGATTGAAAATATCGTTGTCTTTTTGTATGACTATTTTTTGTCTTTATGAATGAATGCTTCATTAAACAAGAAGAGAAGATTGAAACTAAGTATTAAAATTTTAAATGATTTTTGTCTCATATGGATTATCTCATCAATATATATATATATATTATTTATGTATAAGCCTAAGTATAATTTAAGATATGTTGATATAAATAGCATCAAAATCAATAAATATAAATGAAATTAGAATTAGAATCTATTCAAACGATTAACATATGTTGTCAAAGAAAAGGAATGAAAAGAAAATAAAGTAACTGTTTCAGTACATATGTAGAGATGTGGAAGACCAACTTTAGTTCCGGTCTGGATTCCACTTATCGAAATGGAACCAGTACTAAACATTAAACAAAAGTATTCTATGGCTTTAGGCATATTATCTTATAAATCATATAAATTAGAACATAATTGAAGGGAGATAATTCAAAAAAATACTAGTCCTCGACTACATAATACTATAGCATAGTTTTTTTTATAGATTGGAATCGGCTTCACATTAGATTTACAGCGCTTACACAATGAGAACCGATCGAAAAGGTGAATTAGACCGGATCTAAAATAACTTGACCTCATACATTTTTATTCATGTTATGTTTTCAAAGATAGTTAATAAGAATATTTTTATTTTGAAAGAATCTATTTTACTTATTAGATATAACGATATGATTCGACTTCAATTTCCATTGTCTAGTGTATGAATGAGTTGTGTGTCATGTGGATTTTAGTATTATGCGTTATCCGTTTATTTAAACCTTTCTCTTTCGATGTTCTGTAAAAAGTCTACGAGTACGTTGTTAAATATTACTCTTCTATCGAAATGTTTCACTCTTTGAGAATAAAGGTCAATGTTCTTTTATATGATTGCAATTGTAACAAATCTATCTTAACATGGTGTATTGCGTCTATCAATCATTTGTTGTTCGTTACTATTCAAAAGAGAAACAAATCTAATCAAACACCTGGTTATTTCTTTCTTCATACTTTTTATACAATGATGACTAGATTTTGAATTTGGAGGCATTAATAGAATAATGTTTTTCCACATTATTTATCTTATACATGTAAAACATACACAGGATGCAAATCTTTTATTCATGGGTTTTTGGTTGATGTTTTATAACAATAAATATCTTTTAATTAGAAGGATTATGAAATTTATGTGATTCAATGTCATAAAAAAATCATAAACAATAAAAAAGAGAAGATTTTTCGAAAATTGAAAAATGACCAATAAACACCTGTGTATCTCCATTTCAGTCATGTCACAAAATGATTTAATTTTTTTGCTGTACAGAATATGAAGAATTCTGGACTCAAATTCAACATTGTTTCATATATATGAATAAATTGCAAATCTCAAGTATGATTTCTACAAAAAAAGAAATGAGAGAAAGTCTACACTCTTTCTTAGTACTGCATTTTATAGCATCCTATAGCTATATTGTAGAAAAAAGTTTCCGAGCATTTTACTTCATATTAGTCGATAGTTGGCCATTCTCTAATATAAAATATATTCTGTAGAAATGTTAGTTGATGAAAAAGAATTGTTCTTCTATATTTCATCATATTTTGTACATTTCTCTAGAAATAGAAAGAGATAGAAGGCGATATTTTTAACTGATAGCGTTACTGAAAAACATAATTACATTAAAGATTGTTGGAAAAAACTGGTTTTGTTTCTTAGACAAAAACAAAATCATTGTTCTATTCGAAAGTACAGTGAAATGCAATGTTTCTCCATACAACAATGATGATTGAATCTATTACAAAGTCTTGCAGACAAAGTATCATTGATAGGAAAGCATAGAAGCAAAAAAGCTGTATATTTCGATAAAACAATCACCCTTTTCAAAATGGACTATTCTTTATCTTTAATAAAATGTCAATTTTTTTTATCATATCTCGCTTAAATATACGTTTTTTTCCACATTGTAAGCTTCACGACTCAGCGACGATGCAAAATAAATTATTGGAATTCGATGTGACAATGACATGTTCAAACAAGAATAACATTAAAAAAAAATCTGTCAGCATTCGTTGATCAGAAGAAAATTTATACGAAAGTACTTCTCGGTGTGCCATTTATGTAGAAAGAGAATACGATAGTGATGCAAAAACACTCATGATCAGTTTTATTTTGTAATTTATACTAATATAAGTAGGATCTAGAGCAACAGAAAAATAAATTTGAATTGTATATAGATAGGAAAGATATTTATATCCTATTTAGAGCAATCCAAAAAAAGTGGCAAAAGTATTTGGATTCCTTATAAAATGTTTGAAAAGAAACTTTGTTTCTGTATAATCTGATAGTCAAAGCAATCCTTTATTTTTCTAAAATATTCAATCATTCTTCAACCAGTATAATAATATTACAATATGAATAAGACCTGTGTAGTTATGATGCGTGGCAATTAAATTATTTGCTGTTAATCTCGATATGTATTCTCTTGTTAATTTTCTCTTCGTTCTTTTCTCTCTAGTCTTTATTTTGTTTTTCATGACCTTTCTAATGTCTGACTATCTGCATGTATATTCGTAAAAAAGACACGTGTCTTTATGTTTTCTTTATATCTGTAGTTTATTAGCATGTTTTCAAAAACGTTTAACATAATAAAATCAAATAAAACTCTAATACTGTTCATCATTGTTTTATATGAATAAAAAAATTTGTGATTCTATATTAAAGTGCACACTGTCCTGATTATTCAAGGAAGAGCTATTTGGGATGAATAATATTATTTAGCGGTGACAAAGCTTCTTTTCTTAGGAAAGTTGAAATATCATTTGAAGGGTTATGTCAAATTTTGTAAGTGATTGAAGATGAAATACGAGTGACTTGTTTCTGTATTTCATTTCATGCTGTGCCAGCACTACTTTTGTATGGTCATAAGTATCTACCATTTAGAGACATTTTTCTTAAATCAACACATTCATATATTAAACGTTCTTTTCAATAGCATGGCTTGACCGTTATTAGGTTCGATGATAAACCTAAAAATATGCTTTATCATTCATTTAACCGATATGATTATTCCAAAGAAAAGTTTTTCAATGACTTATGATATAAGTTTTCATGGTCATCATAAAGTTGAAAAATACAATCAATAATAGACATATTATGAAAATATGCTCTGTAATGTTGTTTTTGTCTCATCGCATTCGTGTCTCACGAGACATTCTCTTTCCTTTCTCTATTTCATAATATAGGTAATTTTTCATTTTTGATCCTTGCTATTATCTAATTTTGTTTTCTCTCTGCCGTTACACTTATGGAATTTTTCCAAACATACGTAATCAGCATATGTGATCTCGTCATATCTTTTTCCATATAAAAGTGTACGGTTTTATAATAAAACCTCAATTGGCCTGAAAAGATAGCTACCTAACGGATACTCCTCTTTTCACAAGGCTTACGGATCAATCTTTCTACGATTGTAGGTATTGCACATAAGTCATCGATACTTCTTCAATCTTGTGTTATCATACACTTATGAAAACCAAAAAAAAATTGAGTCATACACAATTCTATCTTGATCTCTTTATATTTACCTAATCAATTCAATGTGACGTTCAAGAACAAGCTTTATTTAAGATCGAGATCAAAAAACAATATATACATCCAGATAAACATGATGGTGAGAATAGTGTCTTCTTGTTATATATTTACTTTCATTTTTGTACTCATACTCTTTTATTTTTTTTTCAATATCTTTTCGTTAATGTTAAACTAACAATAGCACGCTATATATTCTATTGTTTATTTTAGATTGCTCGTTTCTTATAGGAAATATGTCCTTCTATCTATATGCTGTATTATTATTATTATTATTAATGGTGATTGTGTCAATCGTCAATGCTGGTCAAAAAGTTTGTCCTGGTTATGGATTTGTTCAACCGTCACAAAATTGTAGATCAACATGTTCAGTACTAAAAGATTAATGTCCATTAGGCAAAAAATGTTGTTTTTGTCTTGCACAATCATGTGGTTTCCATTGCATTGTACCTAAAGATAATCAACCAAAACAAGGCAAATCTTCAAAGCTTGACAGTAAACTCAAAAATCCATCTTGGTACTTATGTGATCGACATCTTTGTGATGTTGATAATGATTGCAAAGGTACTTTGAAATGTTGTCGCAATCCATGTGGTGCGACAATATGTATTGTACTACAACCCTCTACACTCAAAGTGAATTAAAAATTATACTATGAAGTTTATTTGTCGAATTTCACGTGAAAATGAAACATTTTTGTTGCTATTAAATGTTTATTTGCTTTGTATTTCAGAGTACTTCAGAAATAGAATTGTATTTTTTTTTTGAAACAAAATAAAAGTATTTTTGTGCCTTTTGGCACACATATAAGTATATAATAGATATTGTCATATATGGAACACAAAATAAGTTGTATAGGATTGATTATTGTTTTATTTTTTGATTTGGGAGTGTAATCAAGTATAAATTTGACAAAAACAAAAGAGAAAGTTGTTATTTTTCTATTATTAATGTGATAGTTTGTTTTATAGCTGAAATGAATGAGCATGTTTTACTCATACAATAAATTCTCCTAGATAAGAGTGAAAATCGGCCATTCTTTACGAACATGAGTCCTATTTTTCAGAGCTAGTTGATTTGATGCATATTTTCTTTTTACTATTAGAAATAACTAAGTGTTTTTGATGAATGATTTTTCAAGCTGCCTTTAATCGAATAGAACCTTTTATTTGATGTATAATCATAATATGAAAACTGTTTGATAAGGCATATTTTGGAACGTATGTCGATTTTATTAGAGACTTGAAAGGATCATTTTTGAAAATAAGACTGAAGAGAACGCTTCTTCAGATGTGAAGTCGCTTTTCGATTGGGACGATGTTTATTTCATAAGTGAGAAACAGAAGAGTCTAGAACGATTTGATTTTCTGAGCTATCATGCTTGTGATATCGAACTTTCACAGGTTTTTTCGTGGCTTTCAGGTCACGTGAAAAATCGTCTTTTCACTTCAAACTTCACATGAATTATGTGCTTAATGACATCAGTTGATAATGCAAGTTTTTTTTCCCATAATTGCCTTTGTCGAGATGTAAATATACAAACAAGATTTTATTTGGCACATGAAATGTTTCGAATATTCAATAGCGCAAGATAGGAAATACTAGAGTAGCTGAAACTTGCTCAATGAACTAATCTGATTGAGAAGTTTGTTCATGCCAAGTTTCAAGTCGAGCGTCGATTGTTTATGTGACGTAAGGAATTCACATGTTGTTGTTGATAAATCTAGTCAAATTTCCATATCCCAACAACGAAGGTTCAAAAAAATCAAATTGTTCTAAACTTTTCTATTATGCACTAATACTTATCAAAGAAATATGCTTTTGGTCGGAAAACAATTTGGTACCTGGAGAGGTGCTCTCGTTAGTTGTTTTAGTAACTAATAGGAAAATAATACAATTTGATATTTTGAAGTGATTACAAAATGATCTACTAATAGTGAGAGCAATTCTAAAGAGACGTTCATAGAGAAAAGCGGCTATGTGTGGGATTTTTATTTCTGAATTAGTATAAAATATTAAGCTGTTTAATATCACATTTCTATAGAAGAATTTGGCCTGTTTAGACGTCATTTTTTATCTTGACGCGTATAATAGTATCAAATCGTACACGAAAATGTCAGTGAAGTTGTTATATGATTGTTACTTTTTATGTACTGATTGTTAAAGGTTGTTGATTAATGGCAGACATTTTTTTTCAAGACTCTGTACATAATAATAAATCTCTTTTGAAGTTTTTTTTCGAGATGAACAGGATGACTGTAGAAACTTTTTATAATGTTACTTACCTGACAGATGTAAAACATAAACGAGATTCAATAGTGTTATTGTTGCTTTACTCATGCCTGTTAAATTAGATTTTATTATCAGATTGATTATGATGAATTGATGCATGGTATCAGTGAGACAAATATATATATATGAATATAATGGTTTTGGAAAATGTTAATGAAATATATCAGAGAGCAGACAAAAAACATTCACAAAAATGTCTATTTTAGTTTGAGTATTGTTTCATTTTATTACATTTTGTTTTTTGTAATGTTACCATGAGAAACATCGCGTTGAACAATGTGAACTGATATCTATATAATCATGATTTTCATGTAGTAAAATTCGTACATGCCAAGTACTTTTCCGTGCAGCACTGAGAATTTTATCAAAAGTGAAAAGGTTCCCTTGAAAACAAAAACATACTGTTCTTTTTATAGATTCATTAACTGTGTTTTGTTTGCCTACATTGGAGATTTATTCGAAACTAATGAATAATTGATCCATTTTTGTAAGGAAAATTTCCGTTTTACTAATTACGGTTGAATTCAGACGGAGAACATGATGAAATGCAATATTACCTAACTTCCTACATCTTGTTTCGTATCAATAAGAATAGACGATTTCAAATCTAACAATTTCTATAGTTCTATAACGTAAAATCTGAACCTTTTCAATAGAATACAATATTTATGTTAAGTGTCTATTTGAATAACGTAAACATATAATTCGTGTCATCATTCAATTCAGTATATCATTGATTGAAAATTAAAATACAAAATTGACAGCGACCTGACTAGGACCATACATGCCTATACAAAATTCGTTCCTTTTATATTTATCTTCAACTCATTGCAATTAACATTCAATTATCGGTCCTCTAATGTGCGATTTGGCAATTGGTCCCATCTCCTTATGATTCATTTATTTGATCTTATTAAAACTCATTTGATCAATTTATCCTATTTCAATAACTACGAATAATGTCGAAGACCAGTTTAGTGCCAGTGGTTTGATACTCGATTCCTTACTTATTCGCTTACGTCCACAACAAGTGAACACTACATTGTTTATACATTCAAAAAAGCCCTTGAGAAGGGGAGACAAGGCGGACGTGAAATGATTTTCGACTGCTACGTGGATTTCTGGTATGGAAAACCTATCAACATACTCACACTCTTCAATGCTCGAATTTCATCTGAAAGAGCGTCTGCGGTAATCTTATTGGTATGAAACCTGATATTAAGTGTGAAGGACGTGAGAAAATAAAATACGCATACGATTAAGTTATCATTTTTTCATGTTTTGCTCACGTGGCTTATTGCTCATATTTCTTTCAATAAAATAAGTATTAAATGATCATTCAATGAATAACATATTTTATTAAAATTTCTTTAGAAATTAGATAAGAACGAATTCGAAGAGTTTCTCATCGAACGAATTTTTATCAATTAAGAAAGATTCCTGTCCGGGACAACCCGCACAATTAATTCCACGAGACTCTTATGACTTTGCTTTTTTTATGAGCTTACACTATTTTCTCTGATTTAAACTATGAAGATTCTTATTTGATACTTACTTTTCTTTTTTTTATTCTATACTTATTACAAATCTCGTAATCTTCTTTTACTTACTATTGTTTTTAGTATTGCAGTCATGCTTTTTCTTTTGCTTATTGATGCTGGTAAATAAGTTAACGCAGTTCGTTAGAAAGTAAATAATAAAAATGCAAGATGATTTTCTATTGCTCTCTCTTTTTACATTATAACTTCAAAAATTTAAGATTTGAATTTGAATTTTGCAACAAGATCATCGTCAGAAAGTCCATTTTGATTTCCTATAGTCTTGGAAGTCATTTTCGACATATTAGTATGATCTATGTACTTAGATGATTCGATTTCGGCTTTAAATGCCTTGATGATAAATAAAGATGAAACGCATCTTACTGTAAATTGATTCGACATTCTGAGCAAATAAAAAAATATATACAGATAAACATGATGCTGAGAATAGTGTCCTGCTGTCATATATTTACTTACATTTTTGTATTTGTACTCTTTTATTTTTGAGTACTTCTTCGTTATTGTTAAATTAACGACTACACATTATATATTCTATTATTTGTTTTAGAATAATCGTTTCTTGTGAACATTATGTCTCCGTATTCATATTCTGCATTATCATTATTGATGATTATTTCAATCGTCAATGCTGGTGAAAAAGTTTGTCCTGGTTATGGATTTATTAGACCACCAGACAAATGTGAATCAACATGTTCACGAGAAAAGGATGAATGTCCATCAGGCACAAAATGTTGTTTTCGTCTTGAACAACCATGCGGTTTTCAATGTATTGTACCTAAAGATAATGAACCAAAGCCAGGTAAATGTCCAACATCTGAAACTGGACAACAAAATCCATATTGGAGCTTATGTGATGGACATCTTTGTGATGTTGATCATGATTGCAAAGGTACTGAAAAGTGTTGTCACAATCCATGTGGTTCAGCAATATGTATTGCACCATAATCTTCAACACTCAAAGTCAATTAAAAACTTATATATGACGTTTATTTATTAAATACACTGAGACATGAAACATGCTTTTTTGTCATTGAAGATCTATTTTCTTTTTATTTCAGAGAAGAAGGCAATTTGAAAAGAGAATTATTTTTATTCTTTTTTTGTAAGACAAAATAAATATTTTTTTGTCTTCGTATATCCATTTATACATGTGACATATATTCTCAGATAGGAAAACAAAATAAGTTGTATTGAATTGATTATTGGTTTTTTATTCTATTTGATTGTGTTATCAAATAGAAATTTGACAAAACACAAAAAAAACGCAGTTTTTATTTTTCTACTATCAATACGATAGTTCATTTTATAGCTCGAATGAACAAGCATATTTCATTTGTACATTAAGATCTTCTAAATAAAAGTGAAAGATCTATCATTCTTTACGAATATCAATCAGTTTTTCCAAGCTTGTTAGTTCAATGCATTTTTTTTTACAATAAGAAATAATAAACGGTTGCCAATGAATGATTATTGCAAGGTGCCTATAATCGGATACAACATTTGATAGAATGTGTAATCACAGTTTTTGCATGTTATTGTCCTTTGCCAAATCTTTTAATTATAAAGAATAAAAATTAAAGATTCATATATATGAGTGCATTACAACGTTATTGTACAGTTTTGTAAAAAAAAATGAACGAAAAAATTTTATATTTTTAAAGGTGATTAGTACATTCCATAGAACTACATGAAGGTGAATTTGCATAAATTCCCTCCACTACCACTATCAAATTGGTCAAGATACGAAAGATTGTTTGAAATACTGTTTAAAAACTCAAAGTCAAAATGATTTTGATAGGACAAACTTTAGTCAAATTTCTCGATGATATTTTACATTTTAAAATTGACCTTTTGTTTTTAATGAGATGCCATGTTTATTTTAGAATTAACGGCTGAATCAGTGTGATTTTTTTCTAAATTTTATTTCAATTTTACACTCATACAGCAACAAAATTTGCAAATGTATAGTCCATTAGAGAATGTATATAGTTAGTGACCTTTTTCTGTGAATTTATTAACCTATGAGACACAAGCTACGATTAATTCGCATGAATATTGATAGCTTCTCAAATATGAAGCCAAGTGATATATAATTATCTGCTCCGGCTTTCACTGTGCAGCAGTTGTGCACAACATAACTTCGTATAAATATTGACACTATTTTTACTCTTTTTTCAAAAAGCATAAATTTTCTGACCTTGATATTTCGACTGATAGTTGAACACGAAATGTAGATAAAATATAACCAAAATTTCATCTCAAACTGTTATGCATAAAAAGAACTATACGTCAAACAACTTAAAAAACCTGGCGTGAGATTTAATCTGCGACCTGCATTTTTTAAGTTTTATGTTACATTTTTCCTTAACAAGGAGTAATACAATTTTCTCATCGTTTTTTGATGGTTTTGTCTCAAATTTATTGGCTTTCGTTCAACACTATCCGGTTTAATTTCAGACGGATTGTTCAATCTCAAACTCATTTTAAATCTTGTGTGACGAAAAATCGAAGAACGAGTAAGAGTGGTTACTATAAATTTGAAAACTTCGAAAATTCAAATGAAAAAAGTACAAATCGGTCATACGTCATTATCAGCAGATGATGGTGAAAACTGACCTTTTTTTTCTCTTGCGCGTCACATATCTAGAGATTGCTTTGAGATAAATTCATGATTTATTTTGTGTGATAGTGGGAATTTCTTAGCGGAGTCTAACTTGAAAAATCATAACGACTGGTCGAGAGAAATAGAAAATATTGAATTTTTACATCTAAGAATATAACGGTACAATTAAGTTGGAATTCACTCATACATATATAAACTGTACATTATATGACTTTATGAAGTGAAAGATATAGTAACTGTTACATGTAATTGAAAAAAATGCATAAAAATATATCCTTTTCTATGGTAGATCCTTGGCAGGCGAGACGAGGCGATAGTGGAACAAAAAAATATTTTAGAGAAATATCAAAAATATAAAGGAAGGCGATCAATATGTTAGGAGTCGAAGAGAAGCTATACTGTACTGACCTATTTGCCTGCATGACGAAGAAAACTATTTGACCTAAGAACAATGTATACGAAAAATAGAAAAAAACTTCGCAAAACTGACATAGGCGTATGTATCGATAAAAGACTTCTCCATTCATAAAATGTCTGCGAATGGCCAAAAAAGCTTTCTCATCACAAAGTAATATTTGGAGAAGACAGTGAAATTTTCAGAAAACCTGTCAATCGACCAGGTGGTGCGAGAATCTTTACACCATCGGTCTTCGTTCCTGAAAGAAGGTGAACACTTTTGGATCGCAGAAGAATGTGTAGATTGCACACAAAAAAAGTTTAGAAGTATACGATTGTGATGTCTCGGCAACAATTTTCATAATACGGAACAATGTCTTATGATTACAGCGACTACTCCCCATTTGCAAAGGAACAGTTTATAGTGAATCGAGAAAATTTCAGGGAATCAATGCAGATATCAAAGATCGTAGCACTCTGTCTAACAGTGAAAATTTTCCGATCTCGAAGCAAGCAGTAAGACGAAAAGCAAACAGCCTCAAAAAAGTTGTTCTGACTGTCATGTTGGCATAGATGTGAAGAAAAACTCTCATCTATATCCATTCACATCAAAATAATTGAGGATGATGATTAAATACAACCAAGTCTTTCATAGTCTTTTTGAATCGTTTTTCACGATTAAAATTCACCAAAGAGTATCTTCGAATATGTTAATAGTCGCCTTTTTCAGACCTTAATCGTTAGATCTAGACCGTCAATGCCTTCAGAATTAGCCTTAAATAGGGAAAAAATAGCAGCCGGCTATTATAGCTATTTCACTACAAAATAGAGGGTTCAGTTCGCACCAAAGCAAAATTATACTTGGTAAATGTTGCCCAAAAGAATTCATGGTGATCAGACCGCAGGAAGCTGAAATCGTTTTCTGAATTGGATGCATCTTAAATCATAAGATTTTCTTATTCTCAGCATGATAAGTGAAGTAAATGTGAAGAATAAGTTTTATCAGTAAATGGCGCATGGATTTGACTGAAAAAGTTTCATAAATGAATTCTCAACCGAGCGGGCAAAGAGTGAAGTCACTCATGGCATAATTGTTTTTTAGCCCAGTTCAATCCATTAGGAGCCCCGATCTTTATCGACTATCCAAGAGCGTCTCATGACATATATGTAGAAAAACATATATCAGTAATTATGTGATTTCATGACTATTCTTCACTAACAATCTATGTAGAATTATGTTTCAAGCATGTTGAACTAACAACGATTATCAAATTTTTAATTCTTTTGTGTTTTCAATTCGATATACGTTCTTAAAAATTAATATCAAACTAATAAATGATGTGCGATAAAACGGTAACGGTGTGAGAATGGATGTATGCACGAGTGAAGAATATGAGCTCTTCTGTCTACCTAAGTAAAATCCCAGCACTATCCTCTTTTTGAATGTTTAGTAAATGCTCCGGCAGATTTGCGTTCATAATCCAGCAGATCATGTGATCAGAAATTTTGTTCTACGAGGTGAAAAGCATCCTCAAAGCTGCATACTAAATCTTTAAAATTTCCTAAAAACATGGGGGTTAAGTTTTATATTTGTTGCCCAAGGATTCGACATCCTTCTAACAAGATATTGGTTTAGGAGTCTGATAGAATTCAATATTTTATCGTTCAAATCCTTCTTTGGCACTCATATAAATCCTCGAAGATTAGAAACTTCCGAGAACGTTTTTTTTCATAATTCTCCAAAGGCTCTGTATTCACACAATTTCAAATTAAATCCTTATATTCCTACGTTTTCCTATCGAAAGATTACGTCGAATTAGCGCTTCTCATTCTCGGAAAATCTCCATATAGCAATCTTCCGATGCTGTTTAGATCTACTGCGAAGATTCTACTCTTCAGTATCTGAACGATCTTGACAATAACTAGCAGTGACATGAAGATACGAATCGTTACAAAATCCTCGTTTTTATAATAAGGAAACAAGAAAAAAATTTCTATATTTTTTATCTGCGGATAGTACATTCTCGTAAATTTTACTTAATTGTTTTCGACAACGACGAACGTTGTTGGAGGTCGTAGACGAGACAATGCTACTGATCAAGTCGATCACCCCTACGTGTCTCTTCATTGACGATGATCAAACCACAGTCATCGCTGACACGTCGAATCATCGTGTCATCTAATAGAAGATGGCTAATACAAATGGACAAGTGGTTGCTGGTGACTATGGCCAAGAAAATCGATTACATCAGTTGGATCGGTGAAGCGATGTGTTGAATGACAAAGAGATAGATAATCTCATTATTTGTGAGCAAGGAAATGAACGAATCATACCATGGTCTCGTCGTAGTGGCACAACTCAAGAAAAAAATTCTCGTAGCATTTGACGATGGCTACATGACCAGTGTGAGCACTTGAACACAGCCCGTCGTGACATGCCATATGTGAACCCTTTCACTTTTAAACATAAAAAAGAATATCTTTAAGTTAAGTCAAAAAATAATATTTGATATTTACTATTTTTATTTGTAGTTCATATTGATGACACAAAGAACAATCCGATGTTTTAATGTCTTTTTAAATTGTTTCTTTCTTGTAAGTCTGACATGATTTTGTGCATTGTTTAAATATGTCATTGTTATGCAATGGAAACTATCTGAAACACTGTAGTCTCTTGAAAACCAACATCTAGCGAGACAGTCTCTTTCGATGTCTCCTTCTCATTTCAATGATTTTTTTTATCTATAGGTGCTGCATAACGCTTTAATAAAAAGACACCAAAAATATTTGGGTTTCTATTTATATTTCACCAACCTGTCGACCTTTTAACACATTCGACAAGATTCGATTGTATCAAAGAGTTGTGGGTCCCACCGGTGGAGCCCATCGAGTCGCATATGTTAACATGACTGTTGTCTCGAAGTTCCAGACTTTTCGGAAAACTCACGTTTTAGAACTTTTATCTGAAACTCTACGCATAGGAGGAACTCGACTAAACTAATTTTCATAAAAAAATTTCGATATTTTGAACAAAGCTTTCTCAAGATATGCAACTTTGAAGACATAGATCCTTTGTCTGTGGACAGTGGATAAAGCATGCATTGTTTGAAAGCTTCCTAGATCGAAGAGGCTTTGTTCAAAACTTCTGATTTGTTCAATGAAACCTAGTTTAGTCAAATTATTCTAAATACGAAAGGCTTGTGAGCAAACTTTGAAAATACGAGTTTTTCGAAAAGCTAGGTCTTCTAGAAAATAGACATGTTAAATGGGAGATAACTAAGCAAATTTTTCGATAGTAACCGCAGTCCCTTTTGAGTCTTCATTACAGCTCTACGTATTATCTGTAGACAAAAAAACATTGCAATCAAAAGATAGCATTCGACGAGATTGCTCCATGAGTCATGCGCAAAAACATTCTTTTTTCTTAATAACAGCCGTGTTTTCAAGCTGAGGTTTGATTGACGAACTTTCCACTCGACTTGGCATTCGTAACTAAACTTTAATGCCAAAAAATACAGAACATGTCGTGAAGTATATTTATAAGTACTTGAATTGATGAAAAGTTTTGTTTCATTTTGTCAACTAATGCCTCCCTGGATTCAAACTGAGTCCTGGCCTGTTTACAGCTCTGATAAGCTTTGAAGTTATTCTCGATGTTTGATTGATCTTGACTTTGTTCAAAGTATTTCATTTCATGTACTTTTATGATTGAATTATTATAATTAATTCATTACTTTTAGACTTTTAATTTACAATCAGCACTAACTGAAGAAGCAAAAGAAAATAGTGATCAAGTTGCAAGTGAATTAAATTAACTGTGATGTATTTCCTATGAATGATCAACATTGATTCACGTGTGTGTATCACAATGATATCATTTTCTTCTTTGCAATTCAAAGATTTAGAATTTTGAGTAAATGGATGAGCTAATGAAAATATTTGTTCCGCTTGTATTTTTTTGGTCAATGTTTCTTTTTGCTTTGCTTTTCATATCGAATTTAGAAACTTATTGAGATTTTCTTGATTCAGCAAAACATTATCTAAATAAATCATATCAACAACAAGCATCCCGTCGAAACTTATAGATTGATAAAATTGAGTGGACTGCCGTTCACAGTTGTAGTGATGATGCTAGATTCTTTTTTAATCTGTTGTTTTCTTTTCTTTTTGTATATATAACATTTGATTTCTTTCTGTGTGTACAATTTTTCACTTGTACGTTTTTGTGTGTTTCACTATTTTTTTTATACTGTGCATATTGGTTTTCTTTTGTACTATGTCATCGAGATTTTCTGGTGTTTTTATTCTTTGTTTACAAGATCAAAGAAAGAAGTAATTTTCGGTATATTAATTAGTATTTGTACATTGAAAATGAAATCTAAATACATCCAGGAGATAGAGCAGTAGGAAATAAATAAGAAAAGAAAAATGAGATAACTGCTGTAAATAACATTTTATTCAATATTTATTTCAAACACAAATAAAATAAATGCGGAAACCTCGGATTGATATCCGAGTGTTATGTGTACTTCAAAAAGTGAAGCTAACGACAGATTGGTTTCGATCAACTTATCTAAAATAATTCATCCTTGAGCGCACTAAGGAACTGCCCCTTAGGCCCTGCGGATGCCCTCTTTTTGTCCCGTAGGACGTGGCGAGGAGTTAGTTCCGGAGGCTTTATTCATTCGCATAAATGAAAACTTGTTTGTTTTAGTTGAATCTTGTTATAAACTCATATTAATCAAGTCAAAGTGTGGTACAAATTGTTGAGGATTATCTTGAAAAGGTAAAAGAGCATCATAATGAGTACCGTTGTAATAAATACAAAATCCTAATTTATTC